GTTATCAAGTTAACACAACTAAACATGTTTAGTTTCTTCTTTGTGTAAAAACTAGAATGGTTTAAGGCAACGGGTTTCCACGCGATTTTCTAGTAATGTCAACTAGTTCGGGTTAAGAGTGCAGGCCTTTTTGGCCTGTGGGACCCTAGAAGCAGCTGATGGGTCACCATGCCCGAGCCGCATGTCTGATTGGACAGAATTTCTAGGCACAGCCAAGGTGTTGAGGGGATCAGTTTTGGTGGCCTTAGGATTGCTTTCTCTGCATTTTGCAGATGATGTGGTCCTATTGGCTTCATCAGATCGTGATCTACAGCTTTCGCTGGAGCGGTTCGTAGCCGAGTGCAACACGGTCAGGATTAAGATTAGTTCCTCCTAATCCAAGGCCTTGGTCTTGAGCCAGAAAAGGGTATGGTGCCCTCTCCGGGTCAGGGAGGAGGTCCTGCCCCAAGTGTAGGAGTTCAAGTATCTTGGGGTCTTGTTCACGAATGAGGGAAAAATGGAACGTGAGATCGATAGGCGGATAGGTGCAGCGTCTGCAGTGAAGTGGGTGCTGTACAGGTCTGTCGTGGTGAAGAGAGAGCTGAATCAAAAGGCGAAGCTCTCAATTTACCGATCGATCTACGTTCCTACCCTCATCTATGGTCACGAGCTTTGGGTTGTGACCAAAAGAACGAGATCTCGGATACAAGCGCCCGAAATGAGTTTTCTCTGCAGGGTGTCTGGGCTTTCCCTTAGAGATAGGGTGAGAAGCTCGGTCATCCGGGAGGGACTCAGAGTAGAGTCGCTGCTTTTCCACATCAAGAGGAGCCAGTTGAGGTGGCTCAGGCATCTGGTTAGGATGCCTCCTGGACTCCTCCCTGGTGAGGTGTTCCGGACACATCCCACCGGGAGGAGACCCAGAGAAAGACCCAGGACACGCTGGAGGGACCATGTTTCTCGGCTGGCCTGGGAACGCCTCTGGATTCCCCCAGAGGAGCTGGCCCAAGTGGCTGGGGAGAGGGAAGTCTGGGCCTCCCTACTTAAGCTGCTACTCCAGCGACCCGACCCCGTATAAGCGGAAGAAAATGGATGGAGGATGGATTATTGCACCACAGCAGAAACATTTATATTGTAGATATTCAGTTGATGACGTGTGCAGATGGCGTGCATTCAAAGTACGCTCAACTTAACTCAGTCTTGGTGGTTTGCGTTAATCGGGTGGTGGTGGCCTGGGGTGGTATCAAAGTCCCGGCCTGGATTTTTTTTCCAGTCCACCCCTGGATATAGTTTACAGTTTTTACACAATAACTGTTTAGGTTTATTATTTTTGAACATTTTTCTATGCAGTGTTTAACTTTTGAGCTGTGTGGTCCAGATAATAATAATAATCATTTTATGTAAAAAGTGCCTTTCATGACACCCAAGGACACTTTACAGTAAGAACAAAGATCAACAGGAATAAATTACATAAAGAATATAAAATACATACAGAATATAAAATGCATAAACAATATAAAATACATACAGCAAAGTTAAGG